GAGGATGTGAGAGATAATCTAACCTCCCCAGAATTGAACCTTTCTTTAGCAAGCCACAGAAGTAGTAGTTATTAAGTCATCCCTCCAAGTTGCAGGACCAGACAAAGAGGATGACAATGAGAGCACACCTACCTTCTGGATGACAAATCCTCCACCATGTTTCTTTTTCTTTTCCCTCTCTCCTTTTTGTTCCCCCCCGAGATCGACTCCAGGGGATATTTGGTAGGGGGAGGGGGGATTAAAGAAGGATGGATGAAAACTAGTAATAATGATCTCTTGTTTGGATTGCAGAAAGTATAGAGAGCTTACAAATGGTTATGATTTTGCCATTTTGAGGGGGATTCACATCTCCTCTCCTTCCATTAGTCCCAAAATTTGAGTGATGACATTTGAATGGAATGAAAGGATGGACATCATCTACCCATTAGCCATCCTCTTATTTACTCCCTAGCCATGATAGGGACTATGAGCATTTCTAATGGGGATATCTATTCATTATGCCTATGAAAAAATATTGCCACATGTAGAGTTTTTTCCAAGATACATCTGCTCAATGTAATATATCTGATGTGGCAACAATATATATCAGAGGATATCTAGTATTCCCTTGGTCCCAAGAATAAATATAGATGCTATGAGATTTTTTGAGTTTAGTAAAAGTGAAGTAAAGGGTAGTAAATATGTAGGTTTTTGCGGGTAAATTTCAGTAAAAGTATTTCTACACAAAGAAGTAAAAAGTGTATGTCAGGAGTGGAGTGACTAGTGAGTAATTAACAGTAAAATACTACTCATAATATTCATTGACAATATTTTAGCTTACAATTCCATGATTTCTAGAGACCTATAGTATTGCTTGTATAGAGAAATAATGGGGCCTAATCCCATCAAGAAACATAAACCTTGAACCTAACAACCATATTTTTGATAAACAGTAATACAACAAAACCCAGTACAGTGCCAACCCTGTTGGGTTTATGTCTTCTTACGGTGGTAAAACACCGACAAGCTTCTTCTGTTAAGGCCTCGAGGCATTGTTGCATTTACTACCCAACATTACATATAAAGTAACAAGCAAATGAAGTTCAACTTGTCATTTTAATTTAGTAAATTATTTACTCAAGGCTAAAATATTGTCAATAATGACTACTTTGGATTCATTGGCTATGGTCTATCGAAACAACAATAGTACTAAAGCTAGGAGGACTATATTTATAAAAAATAATATTTACTGTTTTATCCTTTCCTAGGCAACCCACCCCCAAACCCACTTGGTGGGATTTTACTAGGTTGGTTGTTGCACGATTTACTAACTTTCTGTAAGTAGGAATACTCCAAGCTTGTTGTCAATTCATAGTAATCTATCTATGACTCTATGTTGACCAAATCACATGGTTAAAAAATATATATGGGGTATAGATTAATAAAAAAATTCAATAGAACAACAACCTAGGAGAATCCCGCAAAAGTAGGGTTTGGGGGTGCATGTATACAGACCTTAGCCGTAGTCGACTTGAAAGTTGAGAGGTTGTTTCCAAGAGACACCCAGCTCAAGCAACAAAAAAGGCACATAAAAAGCAAACAAAGGATAAAGAAAAGCTCAAAGATACAAAAAGCACCAAGCATAGAAAGCACACAATGACAAGAGTAAAAACTATCACTAAGGACCAAAGTAGTCCCAAACAACTACCCAACTGTCCTAATCCTACATCTCCAGCTATAAAAGGTCATATCCTTGGTAAGGGATAAAAAGGAACAAGAAAAATTGATCAATATGGAAAGATATATAGGACCAGAAGAAAAGTTAACTTCAACCTCGATAGTAAAAAAATGAAATTTGAGTTGAACTTCAAACTAAAAACTTGAAACATGGAGCAGAATTAAAACGTGAACTTCTATTTTCTCGATTAACCAAACTGTTACGGACTTAGAATTTTAAAACTTTACGTTGAACTAAACTACAGTTAAACAGGACATGAACTGGTGCCCACTCGTGAGCATTCTCAACTTCAACAAGAAGTTCACTTCCCCTAACATTGCTTACCTCAACTTTAACAACATGAAATTGTAGCTTTGTTTTCCTCTGGTTTATCTTTTGAATATTAGCATATTACGTAGTAATTTTTTGCGTCGATTACAAGATAAATTTACCATTGCAGGAAGGGTTAGGCGATTTGAAGTAAATTGGGAACACAACCATTGCAAAATTGCAGGAGTGAACACACAAGGAATTCCCCAATTGGAGTATCGATTTTGGTGGTGAGGCCAAATTGTGAATGTTAAAGAAGAGAATGAAGGCAAGCAGAAAGACCACTCTTGGTTGTCTCAATTTCCATAAAGAATGTGCTAGATTGAGTGAGAACTAAGGAGAGGCATGGCAGGCAGTTTAGGATATTGTATTGGAGGACTAGGCTNATGAGTTAGTCACTCATTCATATCAACAATGCTCATACTCTATCTCTAGGATACTTTAGTCTTTAGATAATTCGTCACAGTTTCTTTGTTGAATATGGAAAGTGGATAAGTAATTTCAGGCAAACAAAAGAAAGAGAGGAAAACTAAAGAACAATCTAATGCTTATATAGAGAAATATTGGGCTTAAACCCAATAGGAATATCCTGTTGTACAAGGGAAAAGGTGATAACCAGAGTTACTATAATTAAAGAGTCATCAAACTACTTAGTCATGCCATGAAGGTTTGAGAACGTACCATTGAGTCCAAGTTGAAGTAGGAGTGAGCATTTCTTAAAGTCAGTCTGGTTTTGCATCTGATCAATCAACTACGGAGGCCATTCACCTCATGGTGTTAAAAGGCGAAAAAAGCAAACCGCCTCAAGGCGGTGAGGCTGTGAAGCGAGAGTTTTAAGCATCAGTAGGGTTATGTGAGGAGTACACCATAACATGGTGAGGCGGACGTGAGGAGAGTCATGAGGCAAAAGTGTTGATGAAAATTTTAATGCTGATATAGGTTAAAAAACTATATGGCAATCTAAAAAATATTAGGCCTGAGCAGAGTCTGATTTCAAAAAAATGGCACTTTAAAAACTTAATAAACGTAGTTTACATTTACTCTGTACGATTTCTCTCGACTTAAGCGCAAACTTCCTTCTCTCCACTTCTTCTTCAGCGCAACCTCTTCATCTTCAGCTCAGCCTCTTCATCTTCACTGTAACATCTGTATTTTTGTTGCAGTTCTCTAAGGCGATTTTCATAGTCTTGCTTCATATTCTAATTACTTCGTCATCTAATTTTGTCAAACTTTTATTTTCTATGTTCCTTTTTTAGGATCACTCTCCCTCTTCATCTATTATTTGTATATAATTTTTCTGTAGTTTGTTTAACTTAAAATTTAATATTTTATTGATTTTTTTTGCTGAATTTTGGTTATAAAATAACTTCAAATCCAGTTATATATGATTTTATAACTAATTTGACATGATTATGGATTATGTAATTTGTTTTATCTTAGAGTATTTATTTTAGTACTCCGTATTATTTTTTTCAAACTGAAGTGAGGCTTCCACCTCAAAGCATGTTTCTCCAGAGCCTCGATGCTAGTTTTCACCTTTTTAAAACCTTGATTCACCCCTTGAGGAGGATGATGGAGTACAAGCACAAGAAGAGATACCAACACATGGTGTTTATTGACTTGGAGAAAGCATGCGGCATGATTCCGAAGGAGACCCTACGAAAGTGCCTAGAGTTCAGAAGGGTACTGGTGCTTACATCCATACACTCAAAGACATGCATGCCGGGGTGAGGACCAAGGTGAAAGTTGCAGGGGTGAGTCTGACCCCTTATCGGCAGAGATGGAGGGTCCACCCCTTCCCAATGCATGCTATTTGCTGACGAAATTGTCATGAATGATGAGACAAGTGAGGGAGTCTGTGACAAGTTGGAAGTGATACTGTCGTTATTGACGAGACAAGTGCAGGGACTCAATGATAAGTGGGAAGTGTGGCATCAGCCCTTGAAATCTAAAGACTTCAGATTGAGTAGGACTAAGACTAAGACACTAAAAGTACCTGGAATATTGCTACAGTGGTTGAGTGATCGAGTCAGAATTGGAATTTGGAAGCAAAGGTTGATTTGCATCCAGTGCCTAAAAGAGACCATTTTCAGTACCATGGATCGGTTATTTAGGCAGATAGGGAGATAGATGGGGATGTTGTTCATCGTACTGAAACTACTTGGATCGGTTATTTTGACAAAAATGAAAGGGAAGTTTTAACAAACGATGGTCAGAACTGCTATGTTATACGAAGAGTGCTGGGCAGTGAAGAAACCTCATGTTTGTCACTTGAAACCTTTTAGTCACTTGAGAACTTGATTAGTATGCGTCTATTGCCAATGGAGCTAACACAGTCATTTTTTGACAAAATTTGTAGCTACTAGTAATGGACTAAAACAAAATTCAAAATGAGACGTTTAACTTCACTTCTTACATTTCTATGAAGTTTTTAGCACTAAATGGATCAATGCACCAGGGGTCTAATAGAATCAGTCTCTCGTTTTACTGGGAAAAGGGTGCGTGCATCTTGACTCTTGAAACCCCGGTCAAAACCAACCGACTTGGGATTACACTGTGTTTATTATTGTCGAGAAATTAATTAGTATTAGTGAGTTATTATGGGAGAGGATGCATATAAGAAAATCATGCAACCAATGAAAAAATAAACAAGAAAAAAAAGAATGCATAATTTATCATAATATCATCTCTGATCCTTGAAAGAAGATTTTTGTCATTCAAATATGATCACATAAAAGAGAAACAAATGCTCCCTCCATTACTAACTATAGTGCACGTTTGATGTTGGCAGCCATTTAAATGAAACAAGTAAAATGTGATGTCAAATCATTTTAAAAGCAAGAGAGAAATAAAGTGAACTGAGAAAAGTAAATAGTAATGTTTAAATCAGGGGTGGTGCCTCAGTTGGGTAGCCCGTAGGAGCCATAGCCTCTGAGTTTGGGACTTTGGGCCCCTCTCTCTCTCTCTCTCTCACCCCATAAAAGTGCTTTTCTTATTTCTGTGGTTTAAAAAAAATTGAACTTTTCTGGAAAATAACATGAAAACATAAGGATTAAACATCTTTACAAATTACAACGAGCAGAACATATATCAGATAAACATGCCTCACTTCTGTTATGTTCCTTTTGAAGCATGCACAAGTAGTCATCAAACGGAAAGCATACGTATGACAGAAAGATGAAGACTGAAGAGGTATATATGTAAATAGGTCACTAAATTGAAATAAACCTGTCAGTATCCTTACATTTGTCTGGTACCTTGGAATACTGCAGATGCAATACTTTTGGATAAAAATGACTTTTCTTGCAAACCTAACCTGTATATGTTCCCAGAAATACAATGAGAAAAGATTCACAATCAGCAATAAACAACTATTTCTCCAAGGACTAATACAAGTAGAGCATTCAGTCTATGTAAACCATAATGATCTTCCACCCCTTCAACATTCTTTGCAAAACGATCAATTGAATCCCTATCAATGTGAACCGAAAGGAATTAAACAAGTAGAGCATTCAGTCTATGTAAACCAAAAGAAATTAAAATTTACTTATTCGTTGACTGTTCAAGGGCTAAGTTCCAGAAAGCAGGACATTAAAAACAAGAAACAGTTCTAAACAAATTCCATCCCGAGAGCATACATGGCAAAGAAATCGTAGCAACATGTTTTATTTGAGTTGCCAAATCATATCAGAATATAGCCAAGCTATTTACACCAAAAACAATTACACGTAAGAATCTGGTATATCTGGAAGGAGCAAAAATTACAGGCTCACCTTTGCTTGAGTACCATTTTGGGACATCCCAAACAAATGTCATGCAGCTATTTACTTGACTTCCTGGAAATAGAACTGTATGCTGAGGATAAAATAATACTCCCTCCGTCCAAAAAATAATGTTCCCGGTTTGACCAAGAACAGTGATTAAGAAACGTTTAAAAAGTTATTGACTTTCTCAATATGCCCTTGAATATAATACACGATCTCATTCAACCAACTTGACTGACTTGCACTGCTTCACCTCCGTCTTTGTTTTTCTAGCCGTCGTTGCCACTCGTACTGCTCCACCACAGTCTGTTTTTTCTACTTGCCGCTGCTTCACCACTCAAACTGATATTTACTTCCATCTTTTTCTACTTGGCACTTTGATCGGAAAATCCAGAAGGCCTGCCGAAACAAAGAAATCAGAAATTTCCACCTTGTTTTTCTTCAGTGGCAATTCAAAGATCTTCAAAAAAATCCTTTTTTCCCTTTAAAATCCACAGATAAAATGTCTGATAGACAATGAATAAGCCTTCATAGCAGATTTGATTCAAAAGAAACTACCATGAAAGAAATCAGGTCTCGATTTTCTCAAAAAAGGAGATCAAAGAATTGAGGGAGACAAACAAATGGGTAGAGGGGAGGGGGGGAGGGGTTAGAAATTACAAAAAAAAATTAAAGAGAAAGTTTTCAAGGAAGAAAAAAAGAAGCTTTAATTGTGTTAGTGAAGTGTGTGCGGCTGTGATGAAACTGAGAGGGAGTGAAGGATTATGAATGGGGGCAATTTTTTCCTTTCAATTCAAAAAAAAAATCTTTTTTTAGAGATGGGTACCTTAATTTGGGACAACCCAAAATGGAAATTGAGAACCTTATTATGGGACAGAGGGAGTAACAGCACACTTGCTGAGATCTTATCATATGAATCTCAGCTACTAAACCAATTGAGTCTTCTCATGCACAAAAATGAAGCAGCACCCAGTCATGTTCTTGAACTAGCATTAATAGGGGTAGAGAAGAGGGAAAACTGAAGTAAAGAAACTCGGAATTCGGAAACTTTAAAAAATGACCCTTTATTAATATATGAAAGATGAACAAGCTACTAACATTAGTTGGTGATGGCCGTGATGCCCATTTAACTATTTATAATTGCTACAATCTTACAAGTATTTATATCTTCATACTTTATGAGGTAACAATCCCCAATCCAGAAATAATCAGCTCTGAGGTGTATATACAACCTAAAAACCTTGATCCAAAACTTTTTCTAGCTTGAAACCACGTAGATGAGTTACTCATTGCTTATAACAGCCTTCTGTGTCAGCATCACTACTAGATCAGGTAATGAACTTGTGATCCATATCAAAACTCTTTGTTTGACTTAAGTCACAACCACACACAAAACTTGCACTAATCAACCAAAGGTTCTTCTGATGCGCGCACGCAAATCTTCTCAAGCTGTGTGGGCCAGTCTTCTCCGAGCACCCTAGGATCTGACTCCATAGCAACACGGAAGTCTAACAATGAAGCACAACATTCGTGTGGCTTTTTAACGTGTCTCACAGTGCTCATCCCGTTTAAAGTGGATACAGCTTGATGTTGAACAATCTTCTGTCTTGACTTTGAAGAAGCTAGTGACAAGCAAGGCTCTATTAATCTCTTGAGATAAGCATCCAGCCCATTGTTTAAGAGATTAACACAATCAGTGGAAACCTTCAACCCCTCTGCCTCCAACTTCTGTTCCAATCTTTTCTTGAGAGAGCTCGAATCAGGCAACTTACCACTGACATGACAAGTTTCTACTGGGAGAACAGATTCTGCTCCATGATGTAAAAATTTCTTTGTTGCCCTTGACATCAGAGAGACCCCAAGTGGAGCTGTGACAGGAACCCTACTGTAAATGGCAGGTTTACCCTCCTGCTCTACCTCTTCTCCGTCTTCCACAGAATTAACTTCAACAGGTGGCCTGCTGCCTAAAGACAGCAGCTCAGTAGCACTTTGCTGTTCAAGTACTTTCTGTGCAGAGTCTTCACATGTAGCAGTAATGACTTTCCCGTTTGGTCCCAGAGGACTTGGCCGGTCTTTAAACTTGCGATCACGATGCGTAGGCGTTCTACCCTTCCTGGGGGACTGAGGAAACACGTCCCTGCACAGCGACTGAAGACTCCCTCTTTCATATCCATTCGGTACACTCACATTCAACGAAGCCCGCGCTTTCTTATCTCTGGGTGGAGGGGCTTTTGCGACACATGCATTTTTCAAGAACGCCTGGATGAGTGCGTTGTGAAGGCGGATATTATCTCTCCCGAATAAACTGTTGCAGTGCTTGTCAAATTCAGATCTGCTCAGCTTTAAGCTTAAGTATCTCCCGAACAGATGAAAATACTGCTCTGCCCTCTGCCGGCCGATCTTCCTTTCAATCTGAAGTTTCAGCTCGCGAGTATCGATCCGGGGGCAATGCCGAGCTCCAGGCATTTCGACTCCCGAGTCTTTCCAAAATTTGAACAGAAAGTGTGAAATAAATCCCAATGTACCGAATCCCTAGCAGCGCTTATCTGCACCCATTCGAGCTGGCGATCTCAGTTCAAAACTCAGGGTGTGTTCTGCTCCAGCACGCCAGATTACCCGACTCTGCAAGAAAAAATAAGCTCAATTGAACTTCCACTCACTCAGAAGACAAAATCAACTCCCCAATTCGACAATCGAAAACCCAAATCAGCAGGAAACAACTCCCACTGAATGCGAAATCAATACCCAACATCACACACTGAAACAATCGCAATGTCAAAGAACAGAATCCAATAAAAACCAACAAAAAAAATCCGGACTTCAAGATCGGCACTTCTCCCAGAATCGTGATCCAGTGACTAAAACCCCCAATTCGCCACAATGGGCGCGAGAAATGCGGAAAGAGAGCGCCGGAAAACGGAAATTAACTGATACCTGAATCGAACAAGCTCCGAATTCCAAGGAATTGAGGTCTGATTCGCCGAGTCCGAGCTTCGAACAGTCGTTGATCGGAGACCCTAGAGAGAGAAAGCGGGGATCGAGAAAGAGAGAGAGAAAGATTAGGGCTCGTAAGCGCTGGGTTTTTTTTTTCTTTTTTTTCTTTGGAAGCTTCGGCTTCTTGGAGTCGTGAGGGAGTCAAAGCGGCACGTGCGTCTTTACAGGTGTTTGCGGTTGGTTCAGTGAGCGGAGACTTGAACTTTGTGTTTGGGAGTCTGAGGTTGTTATTCTAGTACCGCTAGAACTGCCCACGGTTCACATAGCGAGTGTGACATTATTGTCTAGTTTCTAGTACATATGTTCAAATAGACATGAGTCTTTTTTGGAATACTACCGACCGAGTAATGCTTGAGCCACAAATAAACAGTTGGCAAAATTCATAAATTTATTTTTTAACACTTTTTAAGAAATAAGATGCATTCAAATAATAAAAGATATTTTAATTTAAAATCCACAAAAGGCAAGTTTGTGAAGTTTGTGACTATATGTTTGTGATTCTAGCATTTTTCTTGCTAAAATCACTATGAACAACTGTCAAATAACTTTTTCTAATCGTTAACGCTAAACTCTAATCTGATGTCAAACGAGGTCATGAAAAATGAATGCCTATATCTCATATCTGAAACTAAACTTTAGATGAAAACAAAACTTTGTCTTAGGAATAAGATAATGAAAAAAATCACATTTTAAATCATGTTTAATGCACACAGTTGTATCCTTAATAATAATGAAAAAACACATTTTATTCATAATACCTATGCATATTTTTTGTTTAATTTTGTATTTTCCTGTATTACAAATATTTAGATAGTAATTGTCGGCGTAAATCACTTCGTGTAAAATTGGAGGTGTAACACCCTAATCTATCTAGGTCTGAAGCCCATTTTGGACTAAAGTATTAACTTTGTAATCGTGAAAACTTAAAACATTTCAAACACTTTTATTTATCACAATAATATTTTTTCGTAACAAAAATAGTACGAAATTTTCAACATTGCGAGAGCTTAACAAATCACAACCACAAACATAATTAATTTATGTCCTTCAATTCAAAATCATCACATCCATCTCGACTATCTTGCATCTGTTTGCCTCCAGGATCATGTCACATCATTCTTTCGATTTACCTGCGTGTAGCATATAAAACATACTACACGCTCAACGTTGAAGTTGAGTAAGCATATCTAATGTGTCGAACATCCATATAAACTGAATCTCAATTCATAATCAAATCATCTCATATCATGCATATAACGTTCAATTCATTCTGATATTGCTCAATTTATATCAATGCATGTTATTCAATTCAGATATTCGTTATTTCGACAGTGTTCTTAAATTATTTTTAATCTAAGGTCAACGATAATAACAACGCTATTAGCTATTCTTAGTCTAAGACCAAATAATAACAACGTTCTTAGCTATTCTTAGTCTAAAGCTAAATTATAACAATGCTCCTAGTTATTCTTAGTCTAAGGCCAAGTCATAACAATGCTCTTAGTTATTCTTAGTCTAAGGCCAAATCCACATTTCCACAACCAGACTCTTAAAGAGTAATTAGTAACGAGACGCTTAAATTATAATTAGTTTAAGGTAATTGACAACCTGTCGCTTAAACTATGATTAGTTTAAGGGAACATATTTCCTTACGCTCAACTGTAACCAATTAAGGCAATTAATTTTATGATGCTTAAACTGTAATTATTTTTAGGCAATTCAATTCTTGACGCTTACACCGTAATTAGTTTAAGACAATTCATTTCAGACGCTTAACTGTAGTCAGTTAACGCAACAACAGAATATCGATTAATCATCGTCGGATTGGGGTATTCCCAAACGAGTGATCATCTAGTTTGGTCTATGAATCTGTAACACCCTAGTCCGTCCAGGTCTGCAGCCCTTTTCGGACTAAAGTATAAACTTGGTATTCGTAAACATTTAAAAATATTTCAAATATTTAAAACTTTATTTCATAATGAATAATTCAAAATAGTAACGGAGTAATTTAATGTTGCGGAAGCATAATACAAACATAATTCATTTTTGTCTTTTCAACAGTAATTTTAATGCAAAACACACATCCGTCCGATCTTCTCATCCCATCTGCCTCCAGGAAATCATCTCTTCATTCTTTTTGTTTACCTGCGTGTAGCAAATAAAACATACTACACGCTCAGCGTTTAAGCTGAGTAAGCATATCTAATGCGTCGAACATCCATATAAATTGAATCTCAATTCACAAACAACCATTTGATGTCATGCACACAATATATAATTCATGATATTTTCCATTTCTCAATATTCAACATTCAATGCTCAACAATATCTTTAACTAAGCTTAGTCTAAAAGATTTGATGATTACCAACTCTTAAACTATTTCTAGTTTAAGGTACTTCTAACCAACTCTTAAGCTAGGTCATTAGTTTAAGGTACATATTCCAATTTATTTACCAACTCTTAAACTAGCCTTCGCTTAAGGTACAAATCCAGAAAACTGAACAGTAGATTACTAACTGTCAGGTTGGGTGGTATCCCCAAACGAGTTCCTCTAGTTTGGTTTANTATCTTTAACTAAGCTTAGTCTAAAAGATTTGATGATTACCAACTCTTAAACTATTTCTAGTTTAAGGTACTTCTAACCAACTCTTAAGCTAGGTCATTAGTTTAAGGTACATATTCCAATTTATTTACCAACTCTTAAACTAGCCTTCGCTTAAGGTACAAATCCAGAAAACTGAACAGTAGATTACTAACTGTCAGGTTGGGTGGTATCCCCAAACGAGTTCCTCTAGTTTGGTTTATGGATCCCGTACGTACGTTTTTACCCAAGGCCACCGAATATATGTTTTATATTCGCAAGGCCCATTCTAATCAGAAGTCTATCTTAGAGGTCTTCTAAGTAGCCTTAATAGTATAGTTCATTAATTCATTATTATCAACTTAACAATTCATGATCATCATTCAGAGTATTCAACATAATTAATTATCATAACCAATAGCTAAACGATCATAAAATCTAATAACAAATAGTGGTCTAGTATCGAGTGTTAACACCCGAACTTATCGTCATGCATCATATTACATTTTATATGTCAAAACATCATTTTATTGTACAAAATCAATTTATAAGCAGTAACTCGTTGATTTAACTTATATATGTAAAATGTGGAAAAATCGATTATACAGTGAATAATAATCGATTAATAATTAAAAATCGATTTATAGTAAATAGTCGATGTTTAGTTAAAATGTGGGAAAATCGATTATTTAATGAATAATAATCGATTAATAGTAAAAATCGATTATTAGTTTATAAATAATCGATTATTATACTATAATCGATTTATACTTTTATAAATAATCGATTATGTTTTTCTGACTTCGAACACCCTCATCTGAACAAAGTTTTAATCGATTCTATTGAGTCATTAATCGATTTTCAGCTACTGTTCATCATCTTCTTCCTCTGGTCAGTTTCGAGTATTATCATTTTTAATCACTAAACTTCAATTAAATTATATAGAAATGTTCTCCAAGGTTCATAGATCATTTTGGAATCATTAAAACATCTTTTTAACATCAAATTCAAGGTTTATGATTCTTGGTTCTTAAGTATGTCAAACACAAAAACTCAACCAAATAACTATTTAGGAACGTAGAAACGATCTATACGAACATTCTAATCACTAGATATATCTACGGGCTTACCTTGAAGCTTAATGGAGGTTTTGGAAATTTTCCGGCGAAACTTCCGGCTATGATTACTCTCAACTCCGGCGACCTCACACCAATACGACAGAACCACCACGTTTTCCTCACTCCCAGCAACAGAATAGAGTGAAACTTTGTAAGAAATGGTGAAGAATGGAGGGAGTTGTGGTAGTATTTTATAGGAGAAGGAAGAGGAAGAAGACATGGTGATCCCTGTTTTGGCGTCTCAGTGGAGCGGACGGCCTGTCTCCACAATTCCAAACGCAAGTCCCTGATTGGGACTAATTTTGGTCCCAGTCGGGGTACACTTTTTGGTCCAACTTTCTCCAAATTGAAATCCGATTGAACCGTTGCGATCAGACAGTCGAGCTCTATCCAACGATATATTTTTCATAATTATTCGTAATACTTTTTCCGACATCATATTTTTGGGTGGTTGACTTTAACAAAGTCAAAATTGGTTTAATTGACTTTTCTCATAAAATGTTCTCTCATTTAATTCATATCGATTATTCTCATGATTTATTTAATAAATCATTACAAAGTTCACATCATAATTAATTTATTTATTTATTCCTGATTTGGGTCTGTACTCAGGTTCCCAATCAAGCACACACAAATAGTCCACATATTGGACTAATCTCTATGAGATTTATCCGGATCATGATATTGGATATCAAAACACATTTTATTTTGGCCCAAGGCCCAACAACAATTTATTTTTAATCAAAACAAATTTTGTTTAATTGAATATTTAATTCAATAAATTTTAGGGTATATTTTGGGGCGTTACATTTCTCCCCCCCTTAAAGAAATTTCGTCCTCGAAATTCTTCTAAGGCCCAATGTTCAACATTTTGTAGTGATCTCATTTAAACATGACCGTGTCATGCTCAATTGCTTAAACCATAATTCCGTCATTATCCATACGGATACGTAATCTCAAACAGTCGATCGGTTGTACAGTAGTTCGTCATTCATCGACCTTATGTTGAAACATTTCTTCATTCACTTCATGGTAGATCTCATTATCGTTAATGAGTCTTTGCACTAATTCGTATCCACAGGTGATAACGTTAGAGTGGCGTTTCATATACGTCTTGTCGTATTCAACTTTCTTCATCGAGTTTGGAATATATCCAGATACGTTCTTGATAATGATAGGTTTGATGTAACACTATGGTTGATTTCATTTCGAGTGAAGAAGATAATATCTTCAGTGCGTGATTCAATTCATGAATTCATAGAGTGAGAAATCTTTACTAGTTCTTACACCAACATCGCATATAGGTTCGAATCTTCACTTGAATGATTCAGCTTGATCCTTGTGACGTCACTTCTTCTCTGGTTGTTGCACATACATTCCCTTAGTAGGGTCATAACGGAGTTTGTTTGGTCAAATGAGATCATCGATAATAATCTTCAGAGATAACGTAATCGCATCAACCATTTTGTGGTTCACAAAGAGAGACTCAACATAATATTCCAATCAGAATGCTTTTACCGTAGTTCACAGAGTGTTGTTTTCAAAGATCGGTATAACGTATCTTGATGAATTAAAACAAGTTCCCAAGGGTTTAATATTTTGATACAACAATGGAATTTAATCTTTTCAAGATTGATCAAGCGAGATGTTTCAAGAGTGTAGTTAACACATCAAGCTTGAGTAATTCAAGGATACGAGTCACGAGATATAAAGATGGCGTTTGCGAATTGCCGTTACAAATAGTAGATTTTCTTCTTTCGATGTTTCACTCTTTGGAATTTACTCAAGGGTTCGATGTCTTAGAAATAGTCATTTTGACTTTTCGTCTCGGATTTGAACGTGTTTTAGGACAACGAATCTAACTGTTCAAGAGTCTCAACACGTCATATCGTCAGCAGACTATAGCATTAGCGAGTACGTTCTCGTATGCAGGTAATTTGAGTCCATTTACTGTACATATTTTGGCTGGTGATAATTAC